TCCCCGTCGTCTCCGGCCAAGGAGGCCATCGACGGGGGAGTGTGTTCCGCCCGTTGTGGGAAAAGGCCCTCAACCACTTCTCGCAGGAAGCTGGGCTGGAGAGTCTCCGTAAGGGGGGGGCCCGACGCGCGGAGCTTTTGTCGCACCGCGCGGTAAGGGCGACCCCAGGGGTCACGATTAAGACCCTCCAGCATCTCCTGTCTTTTTTCTTCTTTGGCGCGGCTAATGGCCAGCTTCAGAGTTTTCCGCGCCCGTCGGTACTCCTCATGAAGCCGGTCCTCCTCACCGTCTCCACGGTGACGCCGCCGACTGCGCGTGTAGGACCTCCGGGCACGTGTACAGGCCGCACGGAGGTCCGCCAGCTCCTGGGACCACCAGTAGACCTCCTTCCTTGGAGGCCGACGACCTCGAACGCGGGGCATGGCCGCATCGCATACATGCGTAATCGCATCGCGAAAGCGGCCAGCCCCCACGTCGACCTCCTCGGTCGGAGCCTGAGGAGACAGCCACGAGTGAATTATGGCTGCCTCCTCTAGTAGGTCCCGGTTCAGCCTGGCAACAGCCCACCGCGGAAAGCGGGATAAACGCCGCGCCACGTGACCCCTACTGGAGTCCTGGGTCCGGGAGAGCTCAAATCGGATATACAGGTGATCCGAGAGCGTCTCAACCTCTTCCAGGACACGCCAGTTCCTTACTCGTGCGGCGAGGGCAGGGGTAGCGAAAGAGAGGTCCACTATCGACCCCCCCTGCTGTCGCACGCACGTGTTGGTGGAGCCTCTGTTTAGAAGACAGAGGCCCACCGAGGCCGCCCACTCCTCTACGGCCTCGCCCCTTGCGTCCGTCCTGGGGGAACCCCACGCAATGGACTTTGCGTTGAAGTCCCCCAGCACAAGGACGTGCCCAGACGCTAGTCGCCGTATCGAGGTCTCCAAGCTGGTTAGGAAAACCTCGAAGTCGTTCAAACTCCGGTTGGGGGAGAAATAGACACCATATATGGTGATCCCCCCCCACTTGACGGCAACATATCCAGTGCCCTTGTCTCTTAGCGACAAGGGCGGGGAATGAGCCGTCGTGGAACCGACGACTGCCACGGAGCCGTCCCAGTCACCCATCCAGTTTGGACGGGGAGGGACAGAATAGGGCTCCGCGACTACGGCAACACCTATCGACCACTGTGCCATGGTTTGCAGGAAGAGATCCTGCGCCGCGGCACAGTGGTTCAGGTTCGTCTGGACCAGGAGGCTGGAGACCCGATCCATTACTGGATCGTCTCTACAGCCTCCTCCATGGGCGACGACGTCGACGCACGAACTACATCGGAGGCAGCCTGGGTCGACTGGCTAGCCCCCGATGCTTGCTGAGAGTTGCGGGGAGGCTTGCAGCCCCCCTGCCCCATCTGATGATTGGCGGGCTTGTTACCCGCCACACACACCGGGCAGTGAGGGGCGGCAGAGCATTCCACCGCCACATGCCCCGGTCGACCACAGCGGAAACATAGTCCGCTGCAGTCGAAGCAGCTTTGGCACTTGACGCGCGTGTGCCCCGATGCTAGGCATTTGTAACACCTCATCGGTCTCGCCGCCAGGACTGTGATCCTAGCGCTCACGAAACCGATGAGTAGCCTGCCGGCGTCGGCCAATACTTTGGCCGACGCTACGGGACAGCTGACCCACACGGCGCCAAGCCCCCCTGGACCGGGGCGGATGGTGCCGACCCTGACGTTGTCCGCGCTGCACCCCGTCTTCTCCCGGATTACAGCGCGGACATCTTCGGCCGTCACAGAGTCGTCCAGGCCCGAGATGCGCAGCTCCGCGCACTTGGTAGGCCTGGCGATCTTGACACCATCTGTGGCCGCGAATAAACCCCGCAGCCTCTCAGCGAAAGTGTCCGCCGTCTTGGCGCCTTCAGCCCCTGGGAACTCGAGAACTCGAGCTCCCGTTTGGGCGAGGCGCATCCTGACCCCCACCGTCCCGAAGTCGTTGGCGAGGCTGTCCCGGGCCTTTTTAAAAACGGCCGCGTAGGACAGCCCGCCGTCAGCCGCCTCCGGGGACACGGTCACCACTACAGCCGCGGTTTTGGGCGGCTGCAGCTTCCGCGGCCTCTTTGCAGAGGCCGTTGCCACCGGTGGCGAAGGCTGGGCTTGGGCTGCTTTTTGGGCAGCCCTTCTGGCCCGCCTTCGGGACTTCTTGGAGCCCCTCGCCTCCTGCCAGCCCTCGTTGGAGGGGGCAGGTGCGGAGGGGCCCGGCAGGGGTGTCGGAGTGGGGAGCGGAGGGAATGCCACTCCGCTCCTCGGCGCCGTTTTAGGCCCCGTCTTGGCCGGCACTTTGGCCTGCGCCTTGGCCGGCGCCTGGGACGGTGCCTTGGCCGGCGCCTGGGCCGGTGCCTTGGCCCCCCTCCTCGGCTTTTGGGGAGCCGATGGAGTCGGGGCAGACGCCGCCGCCGCGTAGGAGACGCGGCCTCCCACTACGGGGAGCGCGGTCGGAGCGGCGGCCTTAGGCCGCTGTGCCGACGCGAGCGGGGGGCGCACAACCGGCGCAGGGGGCAGTCTCGCCTCCAGCCCCGCCAGGCGTCCGTCCAGCATATTCCCAACTGCGATGAGGATTTCACGCAGTTGGGAGTCAAATGCCCCTGAGTTGGTGGTAGGGGCAGGCTGGGACGCGGACGGGGCTTCCCGCTCAGGGAGGTTCGCCTGGAAGCGGGCGAACTGAGCGCTCAGCTCGTTCACCCGCTCCGTCAGCCTCTCGTTGGCCACCTGCAGGCGAGAGACGTCGCCCGCTAGGCCCTCCACGACCTCCGACAAAGCGGAGGAGGAGTCCTTAAGGGCCCTCACAAACGAGCCCTTAAGGTTCACGGACTTGGTGGCCACCTTGTGAATGACGGCCACCGCCGCTTTCGCCCTCTCCTGCACGGACACGGGAGCCTGGGGGGCATTTCCCCCCACCGGCTCCCGAACCTTGAGCAGGAGATCCGCGATCTCCTCCTCCGCTACGGCCTCGCCGTCCACCCGTACGTTCCTGTACGACTCCGCGTTTGAGAACGCGGAGCCTGACGGGGTCGAGACCGGGGCCGAGGCAGGTTTGCGTGCCCTCCCTCGGCGGCTGCTTGCCACCTCCGGTGGCATCATCTCCTGGGACGTGTCGGTTTCCTCGTCCCTGGAGCGTCCTCGTTTCCGGCTGTCGCTTCGCTCCGCCTCCATGGCGTCAGCGCCATCCGACGAAACGGCGGATCCGGAGCGCAGCCGATCTGATGCTCTTCGGCTCCCAGAGACCAGCGTCAGACTGACTTCTGGGAGCCCCATCGAGATAGGCGTTCCCGACGCTATCTCACCCTCCGTGGATGACCCATCCACTCCACTTTTCCTCTTCTCCTTAGTTTCAGAGTCCGTTTTGTTTGCCTGGTTTTGTTTGTTTTCTGTTTGTGTCCGTTTCTTTGTATTTTTATTTGCATTCAAATTCATAATAAATCCCACGAGTGGGGGAGAACTAAAAGGTCCACCCGGGCAGAGATCCCCCATTACCCGGGCAAGCGTAAGTTTTTAACCCAACCGAGGGGTCCGCAGGTACCTCGGCTTGGAGTGCGCTCGCGACTGAACATCCCATCAGCCATGCATCCCCTGGCCACGCACCAGAACACGGGATTCGGGGAATTTTTTAGAGAGGTTATCTTCCTCGCGGTCCGGGCGGTTAAGCCAAGACCCTCGCCCCCGATCAGAGCCGCGAGACTTAACCACAGCGCTCTTCTCGGGATTACGATATGCCGACGGTTGACAGGGAGACTACGTCCCCCTGCCTGCTCGGTGGTAGTGTGAGTACACGCCGAGCCCGTCCTCCTTTCTCCACCGCTGTCAGCGGAGAAACTGTGGCCCCTACAGGGCCCCGCCATCAGGTTTTTTACCGAGGTTTCCTCCTCCATGCTCCGAAGAGCGAAGAGCCAGCAGGGCAACCGGCAGACACGCCCACCCTGCTGGACCAGGCCTTGCCCGAGAGCCGATGAACGGCTGCCTCTTCTGCTAGAATATTGGCCGCTGGCGATAATCCTCTCCTCCAAGAGGACAAGGAGGAAACAGTACCATCGCCAGCGTTTCCAGGGTGCACCACGGGGAGGTTTTCTAGCCAGCACCCCATACCTAATAGTAACCATTAAATAAATAACCTTAATAAATTGATTTAAATCAAAACAAAAATTTCCTTTGTTTCGGGTAATTTTCAAACATTGGCAATCATGGCATCAAAAATTGGCAACACTGAGCTTATAATGAATTCTTTTGTTCTACCGAATGCTGATTAATTTTAATGTATGAAATCTGGAAACAAGAGATTAAATTATTCATTTACCTATTAAACGTGATTCCTGGATTATTTCGTCTTTCGGTCAGTACTACGTAAAACCTGTTGCATATTTATGTTTTCGCCACGTAATGCATCTCGTCTGAGTGTGTCTTGATGTTTGCGAGTGCAATGGCCGACTAAAATGTGTAAGTGTGCGTACCGGCCTGTATGTATTAGGCATAGGATAAAAGCACAATCACATGTGATTAATCATATAGTTTCCGAATCATATCATCACACCTGGGAGTCATCTACAACATCACTGCGACTAATTATTATTATTACGCTAAACAGCTAAGCAGATTCGCGACTAAATAAAAAAGGTCGGTTTGATTGATTTTGATGGCATTAATCTTTGTTTATAACCACAGTGACCACAACCAATAATTTCATCAAATGAATATGATTTAAAAGTAGCAATAGTTCCCATGCCTAGTACGTATAGCAAGCTGGCCAACTATGAGTGACACAGTTTTTTGTTAGCGAGACTGTCTGACTTTTTTATACCCCCATGTAAAAGACTCATCATATTATATTCGAGTGACACTGATTTCTCTAATCTACCTTTCTAAACCTAATCGTGAGAGGAAAAAATTGAAGCCCATCTAATAGTATTAATTTAAATTATAATTTTTAGTTTTGTAATGCTACCTAAAACTGTGCAATACTCACTTCTCAACCTTTTACCAACTTGATCGCATGGACCTTCACCCATCGCACACTTGATGTGTCGACGCATAGTATTCCTGTCTGCCAGTGTCTTCTCCAATTGAGCATCGGACATTTGAGGGGCTGCTTGCACGTACTGGATTACCACCATACTGACGCACAAGTAGCTCATCAACACGAACATCTTAAAATAAGCGGAACATATAAAGTACTCACTTATATTTCATAGTGTAGACAATGCTATATTTTAATATAACGAGATTAATAGATTTTTTGGATGGGAGATAGTGTGGTCCTTCTATGTAGCCTAACTGCAAAATTTTATGTTAAGGTGAGCAGTTCAGACGTAATGCGTATAATAACAAGTAAGGGTTTTATTGCACTTGTACCTCGGCAATGAATTTTCTTTATATAAAACTTTTGTAGTACCCCAGTATTGTTTACCTATTAATTATCAAAATATGGGCAAGAGTGAATATGCCCGTGTCCGTTCAAACATACATAGACGTTTTTTGGTAATTACATTGCACTATAATTGTAAATACATACATCAATACTCATTCATACAAATATTTGCACTAAGTGGGAATCCTACCGGCAAACATCGACGCGGCAGTCGAGTAAACTGCATTAAAACAAACTGCAACATTACTTATTTAAATTACTTTGTATATCAATCGTTATTTATTTTGTATCCCAGTGTTTACAGAACAGCTATTTTTTTAAGGTACCTACTTCAGAAAGTTATCAATGGAAAACTGAATGTATCTACCTACACAAGGGTTTTATTTAAATTTTAGAGTTATTATTTTGAATTTCTAAATTACAAGGAAGTTAACTCAAAGACCTTACACTGAGATTTTTAATTTTTATTTTTTATTATCACTGTCAAATCCCATTGGTCCGGGATTTTACCGTATAAACAAAGCAAAAACTCTTGAACTCTTTGAACAACTCAAAAGTATATTATACTGTGGTAAACTAGTTTTACTTTTTTTGGTATTTTTTATGTTATTCTTTCACTAAGAACAATACAGTCAACAACTTAACTCGCTATAATATTGAACTGCAAGACAATTTTAGTATCGTATTTTACTAGGATAAAAACACATTGAACTAATGTTTTATAATTTACAGCAAGGCGTTTCGTAAACTTATTTGAAAGGGTTAAGTAACTCACGTTTCAGACTGTTTTTCTAAGAGAAGTCAAAACTAACATGACTTTCATTTTAAATTAAAAACCACTCACAATTAAACACCTACATGTATTTTTTATTATTATCACTGTCAAACGTTTAATGTACTCATTTCTACTAAGAACAGTACTTACCTGCATAGTGAAAACTAAACACCCTTGAACTATTAAAAAACAAATATCACAGAACTTAAGGAGTAGAACTAAAGTGAAATACTCTGGTTAGGTCGGGCCGACGATTAGGGAACGACTGCTGCCTACACAATTGTCATGTTATTACCGTCACTGGGAATGCGGTCCTGCCCTCTTTGTGTAGCGATTATGTTTGAATAGAGGGCTCCTTAGCGATAAGCGATTACAAAGAAACTAAAAGCCCTTATTTAAAAGATGTACTGTAAACTATATTTTTAAACATGATGGCTATAATTTAACAAGTTATTTAAAACAACAAAGAACTGGATTAAAACTGAAAATTCTATTCTTCTTTTCTAACTTAGTTATGATTATTTTGTTTATTTTTAAGCTTTTCTTCTTTTAAATTACATTTGAAAATTTAACTTGAATATAGTAGAAAATCTTTAGTTTAATACCCGACTCGATAGGTCTCGAATAAAATAAAAAGGAAATAAAATGTTAAAATCATTATGTGTATATTTTTTCAGTGATTACATCTATACTAATATTATAAAGCTGAAGAGTTTGTTTGTTTGTTTGTTTGTTTGAACGCGCTAATCTCAGGAACTACTGGTCCGTTTTAAAAAATTCTTTCAGTGTTAGATAGCCCATTTATCGAGGAAGGCTATAGGCTATATATCATCACGCTAAGACTAATAGGAGCGGAGCACGAATGAAGAATGTTTCAAAAACGGAGAAAAATTATTGCTATTGAAAGACGCAGACGAAGTTGCGCGGGTCAGCTAGTATATCATAAAATGCAACCTCTGTGCACCTACCTTATAAGATTTCTACACCACCCAAAGGTTGACTGGAATATAATATATTGACCATTAAGTCGGCCGATATTCAAAAGCGCTTAAAGTTTGAAATAATGTAATATCACTCGCATAATGAAGACAATTATAATGACATATCTCAAGCCAAAAGCTGTTTAAGCTACAGAACGTACTAAAGAAATTAAGAATATTTTTAAGAATAGTACCTACAGGCAATAGTGAATCCAGAAGTGATGGCCCGATTAACTTATTAATTCATATTTTGTATATCCATGTATTAATCTACAACACAGCCCCAACTCTAGCGGGGACACACACCACGAGCGGCAGTTTCAGGGAGCGCCAAAATCATAATATAAGTAGTATGATTTAGAAATAAAAACTTGCGCCACAAAGCGCCTAGCATACGGAGGCCTGGTTGGTTTACCGTCGACTTTTATGAAAAAGACGCCACACAGGCCCACACTACAAGTGAACTTATATATTTGTGAGTTTTTTAAGTAATTTATCTCAAACGCTGGAGAAAGTGGCGCCACTATGAAGTTTCTGCTCCGGTAGATCCGGGGCTGGTACATTATCATCATCATCATCAGCTTATCGCAGTCCACTGCTGGACATACAAATCAAATATGTACGTATTTTGTAAATTATTTCTTTCGTGCAGCAGACGGAAGGAATGGATCGAATATTTGCATAGAAGTGGTATATCGAGCGGACGAGAATAGTAGCGTAATTTTCATGATATTCTATAAATTGCGATTGCAAAATAATCAACAAATATTTATAAGGACTAGTTTTGAAACCATGAAAATCTAAAAGCATTTTCCTCGGAACACTAATAAGTGAAAAGGGGATTACACACAGGTACATCCATACTTTACACTTACTTAACTAACCTTTTGAATATCATTGCAACCAACATACCTACGCGGCTAGGTGACTATTACAACGCATGGTGCATTGCACCGTGCACGAGGAAAGTACTTACATAATATTGGTAAAACAATTATATTAAATTGTATATTATACGAAAAATATTTATTATTAAGATTAGAATAACTAAAACTCGTAAAATAAGTATTTATAATTTTAATCCTAGCTGTCAAAAACCTAACTTTATAATTTAAATTTAATTTTAAATGCGAAAATCTATTTAATTCATCATTATTTTCCGGTCTGAGTTTGCAGCACCCCTAAGAGGACTGGGTCTCCCACCCGTATTTCTTTTGTGAATGAAGCCTTCAGAACAGATAAATCAACTGCTCTGCAAATACACAAATACGAGGGTATTGAATGTTTGAAATTTTAAATGTTTTATCGAAATACGTCAGGAAATAACCTCTCATCTAATTTCATCTTAAAGCTATACCGGGGTATACTTATACATACTTCAGTACTGGCACAGCAATTTTTTTATAGTCTGTTAGAGTAATTAATTCAGGACCGATACTTATATATTTCTTTTGAATTTTTTGTAGGTATACAATTTTTTACAGCTGTATATTTGTAGCAGGCACTATAAAAAAATGTCTACTTTTTTAAAATTGAAATTTATGTTTTTTCAATTAGTTACAATACATAGCGCTATTTCCAATACTTTGCAAACGGATCACTGAATCACTTAGATTAGTGGGTTTACTAAATTCTTTATTCTTTCTAGAATTCTTGAATTCTTTCTAGTCTCATAGGAAGGGAATTGAACAAAGTGGCGTGCAGTTGAAGAAGCTTATGTAAAGCAGTGGACTGTGATCTTGTTCCTTCCCAGCCGATTGGTGACTGCTGCTGCTAATTATTAGCAGGTAAGCTATGATCAACTCTCGCATGTGCCCTTTGATGGCTATTCTATCCAATCTTGTAAGTAAATTTCCGAGAGCATTGGCTTCACGTGAGGACACCGCCGACAAAGTTGTTAGAAAAGGCTGCTGTTGGTTTAGCCTCAAGAGCATCGCGTTTCGCATCCAGTTCGAATTTTCTCTGCCCTTCAAAGGGGAAATTATCAACTTTTCCTATCTTATGTTCTGACATTTTACAAATTGTAAACTGATGGACTCGTAACACTTAGGTAAGTATCTAATTTTTTAAATTCAAATTAAAATTATCCTTATTTCATTTTAAAAAATAAGTACCTAATAATATTATCAAGTTACTCACTTGTTAATTTTATTCTAAGATTTTACAAATTAAAAAACTAGACTAATCACTCTTATATCAGATAAGTAGAAAAGGAATGAACACTTAAATTTACCTCCCTTATCAGAGTTCACAATCACGGTACAATTATAATACAGTAGTGTAACTCGGCCGCATGATAGAAATAAATGCCTACAGCCGCGCGGTACGTAAACATGCGTTAGGGCTGCCCGTCTCCAGCATTTTAATTATATTTGCCTACTTTCTGTTTCTATTTAGATTTGTGATTGTAAATATCCTTTTTATATAAATAAATGAAATACTTTGTATATTGAATAGGTAGTGTTCAATAAAAATGCGTGTTGTTTTTTGATTGGTAGATTTAATTATTTTATTTTCTTTCTGCATTGGAGGAGTTCAAGTTTCAATTTTCTTTTTCTTGGAGTATTGCTAGAGAGACTCGTTGAGATTTGAGCAAAGATTTCATTTGTTGCATTTTCAGTCTGTGTACTATTTTCATTTCCTACCAACGGAGCAGTTTGGGTTTGTTTATCTTCTTTTAGAGAGACTCCTGGATCAGTACTAGCTAAGCTTGGCAGCATCAACAATGGTAGGGCATTCTTTCTTAAAAGTTTTCTATTTGATGAATGTAATACATCCTTCAAATTAAAATGTTTTTCACAAATTTGGTAGGAACTAAAGTTAGGTTTGTTTTCCAAATCATCTCGCCGGATCAGTTGCAACCATTGAAGACGTCTGAAAAAAAAAAATACATGTGGCACTCTCGGAGACTGCCGCGGTAAAGCTGTTACATAACATTTTTTTTTTAAAGAAAAAAATCTGCGTGGTGTCAGGTATTTTCCGTTAGGTTTTGAGAATTTCTTGATTCGGTCACCGCGCCGCGCCACGCTCAGAGCCCGCGATAAAAGCTATGCAATAGCTTAAAAATCCTTCTATAGAATAAAAAAAATGTGCTTTCTCCTTACGCGTTACAAAACTCCAATCCTTAGAAACTCCAACACCTGCCTACTCAACTAGAATGCAAGAAACAGCTGACGAGTAAGTAACTTTTTATCTCAGCTTATTAACGTCTCTATAAATTAGGTACCTACCTACAACTCGCAACAACTCAAAACAAAAATTCTTTGGTCACCAATTAATTAATTATTAAAAAGCTGAACAGCTGACTACGAATGTTTTAAAATCACAACCCTCAAACATCTAAATCTATACTATAATATTATAAAGCTGAAGAGTTTGTTTGTTTGTTTGAACGCGCTAATCTCAGGAACTACTGGTCCGATTTGAAAAATTCTTTCAGTGTTAGATAGCCCATTTATCGAGGAAGGCTATAGGCTATATATCATCATGCTAAGACCAATAGGAGCGGAGCACCAATGAAGAATGTTTCAAAAACGGAGAAAATTGTTGTTGTTAATACCGAGGAAATAAAACCAGTTTTTAGTGGTATATGTTGTTATAGTAGCAGCAGAAACACTTTGTGAAAATTTCGAAAACTATCTAATGACACACAGACGGTAAAAAAAAAATTCTAGTATTATTCATACACACAGATAATAAACAAATATTATTAATAATAAAATACCACGTCTTTACTTTGAATTATGCAAAGTAACAAAACACACATGCACCGAAGTTTTAACACAAGCATAAGTAGGTACCTACCGTATCATGATTCATTCAGAACCGCATATAACTACCTATTTCACTCGTCTCAATAACTTTCCGTTACTCTATTCGCTTTATTTATTAATCCAAACACCTTTTTTTCGTGAGATAAAAGGAAATACTTATCCATTAAAAAGACAAATATTATGTACCTACCTACTAGTAAGTAAAATAATTATTTTATTAATTATTATTAAGTAAAGTAAAATTATTATAGTCTTACCTTTCAGAGTTTCCAGGTAATTAAAAAAAACTTATGTCTGGATGCGTTATTGACGAATTCATACAACCAATAACAGCACAATATTTCCTACTCGTCATATTAACTGATTTTTAGAGAAAAATCGCGCGGTTATTGTTAAAAAAACA